AGGTCTCAAGCTTGTCACATGCTCTCTGAGCTGCTCGGAGAGCGGCCCGAGCGAGTTGGCTGGGGATCACGCCGGGAGCGGCGGGCGCCGTCGGCCAGTGCGCGCGACGATGGTAGTTTCTATGGTGAAAAATTGGTAAGCACCGGCGGGTGCGCCTAAGGAAGGGCCCAGCAAACTTTCACGCCCAGTTGTGAGGGTGTTGCAGCGATCGGATGGCGTTCGTCCGATCCCTAGAGGGAATCCAGCCCCAAACCGACCCTTACGCGACGACACACGAGTCGTTTTCGGCGCTCTAAAGGGCCGCGCGCACGTCGGCATGACCATACGCGACGGTCCGGCCAAAAAGACCGCGCGACGGCAGCGTTTTCTCGTCGGCGAAAACAGCGCCTCTCGGGCACCGAAAACGACCCCGAAACCGTCGGCAAGCCAGAACGAGTCGCAGGGACGCGTCCGACACCTTGGGCGAGTCGTAGGGGCCCGTTCGTCAGCCGTCGTAGCTCGCGCGCTCTCGGAGAAGTCTGTTTTGACGTACAAAAGCACGTCATGATCTCGGTACAGCGTTCGCGCCACCGCGTCGAGGTCGCGAGCGCGTGCGAAATCCGTCTCCCAGCGCACCCGCGGGTTGGAACACGTCGAGACATATACAAAGCAGCTCCCATCGCAAAACGGCACGCTACGAAGCCAGTGGGCGCGCAGAAACGCTGGACCGCACCGATTGCAGTCGCTCCGTGCCGCCACCACCAGTGTTCCTCGCGCGCAGACGCGCCGCGCGCCGGGAAAAAATAGGCAGACCGACGCGTCGGGTCCATGTGTGGAACGTTAGGGCTTTACCGCGTCGAAATCGCTGCAGTACAGCCGGCGCGAGGGCCAGACATCGTCGATTTCCAGCGGCTGAAACATCGGCTGTCGGCCCAAACTTTTTTGGAAAAGGCAGTGCGGTCGCTGCGCCAAGCGAGGGCGTCAACAGGCCTGCATGCACGGCCTCAAGGGGCAGCCTAACCAGCACGGGGCTGCTCGCGCTCGAGCGCTCGTCGTCCGCATCTCACACCCCACCGCGCGCCCGCCTCGTCGCCGCGCTCGGAGTCGCGCCGCCGCGCGGCAACGGACCGGTGGCTTCCGAAGGTCGCGGTCGAATTCGTCCGCGGGCCATGCTTGGACGAGCGCTAGAGAGGCAGGGCACGCCCGGCCCGCGCGCCGCGACCGCACCTCGACGCGCCCCCGCGCAGCGTCGTCACCCTGGCGGACACCAAGCAGAGCGAGGACCTCGGCTTTCGCGACTTCCTCAAGGAGACGCGCGCGCCCGGCGCGGACTCGCGCCGCCGCCGCCGCGACGCCGCGCGCGCAGGTCCGTCGCCGACGCCTCGGGGAAGAAGCCGGCCATGGACCCGCCGCCGCGGGCCGAGCGCCGCGACGACGGCAAGATCCCGTCGCGCGCGCCGGCGCGGCGAAACCGGGTCCGACCGCGGAGGCTCCCATCGCGGTCGTGTTCCCGTCGTTTCGGCCGACGTTCGGGCGAGCGCTCATCGCTCGGCGCGGCCTCGAAGCACGGCTCTGGCCGCGCGAAACATGTACGTTGAAGCGACGTTGCCCGCAGGTTCGTGCCGCGGACGGGCCTCGTCTACTCGGAGAAGACGAACCTCAGCGAGGCGCGTGGCGCGCTTCCGCGCGAGCCGGCGCGACGCCCGTCGCCCCCGCAGGTCCTCTGCAAGCCCAAAATCATGCCCATCCGACCACAGCACCTCGTCCGCAAGGAGCAGGCGGAGCTCGACGCGGAGGGCGAGGACGACGACGACGCCGAGGCCAAGCCCTGAGGGGGGCGATTCGAACTAGTCTGCTCGGGGTCGTCGACCCGTGGGGCCGCGGGGGCCGACGTGTCGTGGCGCAACTAGGAGGTTTTGGGAACGCTTGCAGTTCAACTTGAAGGTAAACGAGCGATAGCACCGACACGACCCCATGGCCGCCGCGAAGCTCGGCCTCGTCGGCCTCGGCAACCTCGGCATGGAGTTCGGCCTGCGCGCCGTCGCCGCGTCGCGGTCCGTCGTCGCCCACGACGCGTCGCCGCGCCTCGCCCTCGCCGGCGCGGCGCGCGCCGACTCCGTCGGCGCCGTCGTCGCCGCGGCGCCGACGGTCGTGAGCGTCGTGCCCGACGACGCGGCGGCGCGCGCCGTCGCCGACGAGCTCCTCGCGGCCGCCGCGGGCCGCGGAAGCGACGCGCCGCCGCTGCTCCACGTGAGCTGCTCGACGATCTCGCCGGCGGCGTCCGCGTCGCTCGCGGCGGCGCACGCGGCCGCGGGCGTCGGCTACGTCGCCGCGCCCGTCTTCGCGCGGCCCGAGAACATGCGCGCGGGCCAGGCGTCCTTCGCCGTCTCCGGCGGCGACGCGGCGCTCCGGGCGCGCGCCGTGACCGACGCGCTGGCGTGCGCGGCGCCGCGCGAGCGGTGCTTCGACTACGGCGACGCGCCGGGAGCGGCGAACGTCGCCAAGCTCTGCGGCAACTTCCTCATCGCCGCGTCCATCGAGGCGCTCGGCGAGAGCCTCGCGCTCGCGGAGGGCCACGGCGTCGACCGCGAGGCCGTGCTGGCGATGCTCGCGTCGACGATCTTCGACTGCGCCATCTACAGGGGCTATGGCGGCCGCGTCGCGGGCCGGGACCACGCGCCGGGCGGCTTCGCGCTCCACCACGGCCTCAAGGACGTCGGCCTCGTCCAGAAAGCCGCGCAGGACGCGCGCGTGCCCATGCCCCTCGGGTCCCTCCTCGTGGACCAGTTCACGGCCGCGTCCAACGACGCGGCCCTCGCGGGCCTCGACTGGTCCGCCCTGGGCCTCCACGTCTCCAAGAACGCCGGCGTCGACGCGTCGTCGAAGTAGCGCGCTCTTTTTTAAATCGCGCGCGCGCCATGCACGCTAGCGCTACTTCATGTTGAGCCCCGTGCAGAGTCCGCGTGTTACGGTCCTCCCGGCGGCTTCCAGTACTCCAGGACGTGCACGGCGACATCGTGCGGCGCGTCGCGGCCGAAGCGCTGCCGCAGGTACCGCGTCAGGCAGCCGCGCGGCGCCGTGAGCACGCGGCGGTACGTGCGCACGAGGTGCTCGTAGCCGCCCGCGGCGACGACTTTGTCGAGGTAGCGCCAGCTGTCAGCCCGCCTCGTGGAGCGTGGGATTAGGCTGAGCTCTTCCATGTCAATAGTCGCGCCAGCTTCGAGCAGCACCGCAAGGGTGCGACGTTCGCCACTGTGCTCCAAAGCCGCGCTGATCGGCGTACCGAGAGAGCCACCGACGCTATTCACGTCGGCGCCAAAGGTGAGGAGGCACCTGATCGTTGCATCGGCTCCGTTCTCCGCCGCGATATGCAGCGGCTCCGAGCCGTCTTCGTCTTTCACGTCGACCTTGCAGCCTGCATCGAGTAAAAGACGCACAGCTTCTGCCCCGTGCTTAGTGCGAGCCGCATCATGGAGGGGCGTATCACCACTGTCATCCACGCAATGGACATTTGCGCCAGCAGATAGGAGGAAACGCACTAATTCCGCGTGCCCATCATAAGCCGCGAGGTGGAGCGGCGTGTTGTCGTGTACGTCGCGAACGTTTACATCTCCGCCCGCGTTGACCAACAGGCGCGCGATCTCCACATGCCCCCCGTCAGCCGCACGGTGCAGAGCGAAGTTTCCCCCTCCTCCTTCTGCTCGGTCCACGCTTCCCGCAGCGAGTAGAGCCGCACCCATGGAGGTGTTCCCAGCTGCGGCGGCCTTGTGCAGGAGCGTCTCTCCATCGCCCTGTACGTCGTTTACATCCCCTCCAAAATGCTGAACGATCACGCGCACCGCGTGGGTGAAGTCCTCCGCCGATGCGTCCATGTCTCACTTAGGCTGCTCAGAGAGGTCAACTTGATGTTCAAGGTCACGGCCGCCGCTCACATCTCCTCACCGCGCGACGCGCGGCCCGCTGGAGCTCCGGTCGGGCGAGTTTAAAAAAGGCGGAGGCGCGACGGGCGAGCGACGGGCGGGCCCCCGGGCGCGCGGCGCGGCGCCGGCGCTCAGAGTTCCGCGGAGAGCTGGCCGGCGCGCTTGTGCCACGCGGGGCTCGGCCCGGCGGGCCAGTCCGCGTCGCCGAGGAGGACCTCGACGAAGGACGACCGCCGCGGCGCCGCGTCGTCGTCGTCGACGGTCACGGACGGCGGCCGCGTCGCCGTTCGCGCCCCGTGCGCCGGCGTCTTCGCCACGGCGACCTCGAGGTCGACCTTGTGGAGGTCCTGGGGCGGCGTGACGACGCGGCGCGTTCGCGGCGACTCGAGGTCCGTGCACAGATCCGCGAACTCGGAGACGACGAAGCCCGCCTGCTTCGGCGACGCGACGACGTGGCCCCGCGCGGGCTCTCGGACGCCGCGCGCGGGCGTCTCGACGAAGCCCTCGCGCGGGTCCAGGATCGTGAGGACCATGCCGCTCCGGAGCCGGATGGGCTCCGCGCCGGCGCCTTCGGCGAAGGGGCTCGCGGGCGTCGCCGGCGGCGGCGGCGGCGGCGACCCGACGAGCGAGTCGTCGAGGCCCTCGCCGAGCTCCGTGTTCTTGTAGAGGCGCCGCTGGCCGCGGCGCGCGCGGACGACGGCGGCGACGCCCGCGCCCGCGAGCGCGACGAACGCGGCGACGACGTAGAGCGCCGTCGCGCCGGCCGCGTCCGGCC